GAGGTCAAGGATGATTCTGCTGAGCCAACTGGGCTGGCTGTGAGAGCCTGTGTCACTCACCAAGAAATGGAAGAAAATACAATAGCCACTATTAATTGAGCACTTCCTGTATGTCAGGCATGGTACCAGGTACTTTATCCCCATTTTAGAGGGGAGGAAAACTGAGTTTTGGTAGAGTGAAATATCTTGCCCAGCAGAAAGAGGATTGGAACAAAGGTTTACTGATTTACAAAGCACTTGGTTTCTTAACGGCCCTATTCCACCACTCTAATGAGCTCCAAGCCTTCTGTGGACCAGCACTGCTGAAACGGGAGGCAAAGTGGAGGGAGTGAGGCCACTGGAAGCATCTCTCCAAACCCTCTGCCTCCCCTTCCTGCCTATCAGCAGTGATCCACGCCCTTCGGTCTCTTTTACCTAAAACCAACACCTGCAAAGTTTTACTTAGGTAAATAAGTTATCATTGAGAAAGCAGGAATATTTCTAATTTGTAATCAGATCCAGGCCACCTCTTCGTATACCTCCCTGGATGGAGAGCTTATTCTCTCTCAAGGCAATTCATTGCATTGTTAGAAAACATCTATTTCTAGAAAGCCCTCCCTTGCCTTGAGTCGAAAGCTATATTCTTTGGCAATTCAGGGTGCATATTTCCACAGTTGGATCAGTGGCTCTCAACTAAGGATCACTTTGCTCTTCCAGTGGATATCTGGCAATATCTAGAGATATTTTTAGTTGTCATGACTGAAAGTTGGGGAGAGATGCTACTGACTTCTGGTGAGTAAAAGTCAGGGATGCTGCTAAACATCCGACCAGGGCACATGACAGCCCTTCACAACAAATAATTATTCAGCTCAAAATGTCCATAGAATGAAGGCTGAGAAACTGAGTTAGATAGACCTAGGTTCAAATCTTCGCTCCACCAACTGATTCCTAGCTGTGTGACCTTGAGTAAGTTGCTTCCCCATTCTGAGCTTGAGTTGACCATTTCCTCCTCTGTACTCTAGGGCTCATCAGAAGACCTCCTAATGGGCTTGTGGTGGGCATTTAATAACTAATATGTAAAAAGCCCAGGGCTTGGCTCCTTATTGTCGAAGCCACCCCAGTCAGCGTTCCCAGGAATTGGAGGGAACACTGACTGTCTTTGTTTATCCGCTGGTTAAACCTGATTGGATTAGGCTGTTTGTCATCACTTTAGTAATAGGCCCACTGCAGCCTGTGGTTTTGGAATGGAGCCATTGGCTTGCCTGTACACAGGAGCCTCTGAGAGAAGAAAAAGTGTCCATTTCTGCTTGTCACCAAGTCAAGGTCACCCAGGGGTTGGCAAAGCTTTCCCCACCGTTTCAACTGATCCTCCCAACAGTCCAGAGGAGTGGGAGGTGGGGGTGGGGGAGGGGAGGGGTCAATGTTAGCCCTACTTTACTGATGAGGAAATTGGGAGATTGGAGACCTGTTTACTCATGCTCCACACAGCCTGTCAAGTGGCAGAGCCCAGGTGAGATGGTGAGAGCTCTCTCCTACCATCACCCGCTTCTCTAGGGACACAGTGCTATAAAGAACCTACAGGTTTCCTTCCACCTTTCCTCTCAAAATGCCCTGTCTGAAGGGTCTCGTCTAGTTTTGGTTCTCTCTCCCCCAACCTCTCACAGCACCATCTCTATAGGCTCATTCTTGACTCCAGAGAGGGTACTTCAGAACCTGACAGGGTCTGGACAGCCTGAGGGGAGCGTGGCCTCCTGTGTGGCATGAGGTGAAATGAGGATCTGTGTCCCTGCATAACTCCCATACTCTGCCAGAGTGCCAGACGTCTCTTTGGCATTTATAGAGAGAAAACCATTCAGGGATCTATTTTTCAAAATTCAGTTCCCCGGAGGAGGGGGAAGTGCCTTGTATGAGTTATCTCACTGAGTAATGCCTGTTTAGAGATTGGGTGAGAGGATGAGATACTAGGAACAGCATAATGGGCCTGTAACCTGGACAGCACACAGGCCCTGAGCTCAGGATCCTCCAGCTTGGTTTAACGTTCTGCTATCACTGTCTTGAAATTCTTAATAATACTTTAACTTTCCATTTTGCACTGGGCCCTGCAAATGATTCAGCCAGTCCAGAGTGGGACATGAAGACGACGCTGATGTGGCCACTCCTGCTGTCCTCCCAGCCGCCCAGCTCGGTGCCAGGGTTCCCTGAGGCTTCTTCCTCCTCCCAGTACCTGCCTCAGCCTTCCTCTGGCGAGGCATCCTCCAAATGCCATTTGTATGCAGTGTGGGTGCTACAGTTGCCTTTCCAGGAATCCTCCTTTTGAATTCTGTGGTTTAAGAGGACAAATGTGGACTTTCTTGCTCCCGAAACAGATCACTGAGCTGAAAGGAACACTTTGCCAGTAAATATCTGCTGAATAAATAAATTCTGAGCTGAGATATTTCAGACCATCCTGCCCCTCACTCACTTATCCATTCACTTAACAAACATTTATTGATCTTTTGCTTTTATGTTTTTACAAAATAACATGTCCAAACTATGAAGGAAAAAATGCGATAAAGAGTCAAGCTTACGGTGATAGATGAAGAAGATAAACTTATGCTGTTTTAATTTTCTACATTTTATTATGAAAATTATCAATGAAATAGAAAAGTTGGAAGCATTATACAGTGAACACCCAGATACCCACTCCCCAGGTTATAAATTAACATTTTGCTCTTTTTGCTTAACATGTATCTGTTCATTTATCTATTCTTCTAACCAGTCATCCATCCAACTTATTTTCTGATTCATTTTAAAATAAGTTGCAGACATCAGTAGATTTCATTCCAAACCAAACACACTTAATATGTGACACTAATTTTTAGTTTAATGATCTCAACTCAATCATAACATCTTTTCTTTTTTAATCAAAAAGGAAAATATATAGATTTTTATATAAAAATAAATCCCTTACTGTCAAATGTAATCATGGAATTGTAAATAGTATATGCACAGTGGGAAAAAAAAATTATGGAGTTCCCCTCTTTGTGCAATGAGCCAAAGAGAGAAATAAGAAAAGAAAGACACGAGAGAGAAATTTTCTCAAGGCAACGAGGAAAAGAGAGAAATGAGTCACTGCTGTAGGAGGGGGAGGTTAGAGCTGCCTTGAGAATGCCAAGCTATGTCAGTGTTTTAGGCAACTGCTTCCTGCTTCCTTCCTATTAAAACAGTAAAAAATAAAATCCCTGAGATGATTTGCCTTAGCGTCTTTTCTCCTTCCTGAGGTGGCTGTAGACAATTCCAAGGGGCATCGGCTTAGTCAGAGCTGAAGGTGAAACTGCCGGGTATTGACTGGGTATCAGATGTAAGAGTAGAGAAAGATACAGCTGAAGCTGTAGATTTGGGGGTTGTCCTCACAGTGGTGATGGCTGGGGTGGACAAGGGTGAGTGGATAAGGTCTCTGAGGGTAACAGCATAGAGTGACAGGAGCAGAGGGCAAGACTGGGTTACAGGAGGAGAAGGTGATGCTGTTGAAGAAGTCAGAGGAGGCACACTCAGAAAAGTCAGAGGGTTACTATGACTACTGGCCATTCAGAGTTGAAGGAGAACATGGAAAAATACCTAAAGCAAAACTCCTAAAAGGAGACCTGGAAATGCCTTTAGAGATCACCTACTCCACCTTTCACATTTGGCCCATGAGAAAACACAGGCTGACAGATCACTCATAAAATTAGTGGCAGAGCTGGGGCAAAATCAGTGCCACCCAAGTGGTGACTTTCCAACAAAGTAACTCAACCGGTTCTCTCCACAAGGAACAAATGCACTGGGGTCTTGATTTTTATCTTAAACAAACAAACAAACAAACAAACATGAATTTGGCATTTTACTCAGGAATGTATCTGGCTTTGCCTTAATGTAAAACTAGTTTGTTTCTGTTAAATTATTGAGAGAGATTTATACTCTCTGTTAGTGTTTCTCAGTTTTCTTTAAACTCATACCAGTTTTTAATGAATATTAAAATCTAACAACTTCTGGAAGTTTTAATGCCTACTTCTACTGCCCACCCCAACTGAGAATCACAGATAACAAGATACAATCTGTTTTCAGTATAGCCTCACTAGCAAAGAAGGCTGCATAGTTTATGTGATGAAAAAAATTCTTTTTCGAATATAAGAGTAAAATAATAAATAACAAACATGCTTTCTCAAATAACATAACCTACTTTTTCATTTGAGAACCATTCATCTAAGGAGATGGCCTTGATTTATTTTATGCTTTATATACCCTTGTAAATTCCCCCATCTCAGTTAGGGGTGCTTTTAGCTGCAAGTCAAAACTTCTACAATGGTGATGTAAGCAAATAAAATATTTAATTATTTCCCATAATAACTAGTCTGGAGGAAGAAGATTCTAGGTTCTGTTTAGCAACTCAGTGATAACAAGACTCTGGGTTGGCATCTCAGTGGTTTTCTGGGCGATGACATCCATAGCTCCAAGCATCACTTCCTGTCAGGGAGAAAGTGGCAAGTAGGTACAATGCTTATCCTTGTTTTGCTCATTTGGCAGAGAGGAAGCACTTTCTAGAACCCCACCTCTGCCATGAGACTTTCTCATCTACTTCCTTGGCCACAGTTGTGTCTCATGCCCACTCCTAGACCAGCCATTGGCAAAAAACAACTAGAGTGCCATATTCCACTTAGACCAATCGTGATGCAGCCCACCTTCCCAAAACACATACAACATCGGACTTATACAAACTTCACCTTGTTTTTGCCCAACTCCCTCACTACAATGCAAGTTCCTTGAGGGCAGAGATTTTTGTTTTGTTCACTATATTTCCAACACCCAGAACAATGCCAGGAATTCAATAAATAGTCATTAAGTGAAGGAAGGAATGAATGACTATGGAAGAAGGGGATATAGGTTATAGGTAACCAGCATTGTCTACTATCCCCAACAGCATACAACCCCCGTTTGATCGATGTGATGGTACTGACTATTGATAACCAAGACTCTAACCTTAATCCTATGTCTTTCCTCCCAGGGAGTGAGCTATAACTGGAGGCTGCTCTTGTGCCAATGACCCATCCCAATTCCTCCAGTGTCTTAAAAGACAATATGTGTGAAGAGAATAAGACCACCATAGCCAGCCCTCAACTGATGCCTCTGGTGGTGGTCCTGAGCACCATCTCCTTGGTCACAGTAGGGCTCAACCTGCTGGTCCTATGTGCTGTGCAGAAAGAGCGGAAGCTACATACTGTGGGGAACCTGTACATCATCAGCCTCTCGGTGGCAGACCTGATCGTGGGAGCTGTCGTCATGCCCATGAACATCCTCTACCTCCTCATGTCCAAGTGGTCCCTGGGCTGGCCTCTCTGCCTCTTTTGGCTTTCCATGGACTACGTGGCCAGCACAGCATCTATTTTCAGTGTCTTCATCTTGTGCATTGATCGCTATCGCTCTGTCCAGCAGCCCCTCAGATACCTGAAGTATCGCACCAAGACCCGAGCATCGGCCACTATCTTGGGGGCCTGGTTTCTCTCCTTCCTATGGGTTATTCCCATTCTGGGCTGGCATCGCTTCATGCCGCAGACCGCAGGGCACCGAGAGGACAAGTGTGAGACAGACTTCTACAATGTCACCTGGTTCAAGATCATGACCGCCATCATCAACTTCTACCTGCCCACCTTGCTCATGCTCTGGTTCTATGCCAAGATCTACAAGGCTGTACGGCAGCACTGTCAGCATCGGGAATTCATCAATGGATCGCTCCCATCCTTCTCTGAAATTAAGCTGAAGCCAGAGAACCCCAAGGCAGGGGCCAAGAAACCAGGGAAGGAGTCTCCCTTGGAGGTTCTGAAAAGGAAACCGAAAGATGCTGGTGGTGGACATGTCTTGAAGCCACCATCCCAAGACTCCAAGGAGATGAACTCCCCAGATGTCCGCAGCCAAGAAGAGGACAAAGAAGTGTACAAACTCCACTGCTTCCCACTTAACATTGTACAGACACAGACTGAGGCAGAGGGGAGTGGTAGCAGCTACATAGCCAGCAACCAGAGCCAGAGTCAGCTTGAGACAGATGAGCAGGGCCTGAACATGCATGGAGCTAGCGAGTTGTTAGAGGATCAGATCCTAGGTGATAGCCAGTCCTCCCCGACAGACTCAGATACCCCCACAGAGCTGGCATCAGGGAAAGGCAAACCAAGAAGTGGGTCTAGCATAGGCCTGGATTACATCAAGTTCACTTGGAAGAGGCTCCGCTCACATTCGAGACAGTATGTGTCTGGGTTACATATGAACCGAGAACGGAAGGCTGCCAAACAATTGGGTTTTATCATGGCAGCCTTCATCCTTTGCTGGAGTCCTTACTTCATCTTCTTCATGGTCATTGCCTTCTGCAAGAACTGTTGCAATGAACGTGTGCACATGTTCACCATCTGGCTGGGCTACATCAACTCCACGCTTAACCCCCTCATCTACCCTTTGTGCAATGAGAACTTCAAGAAGACATTCAAGAAAATTCTGCACATTCGCTCCTAAGGGAGGCTACAGGGAGGTACAACAAAGTGATGCTTAGGATGTCGCTGAAGGTAATGGAAGGTGAAGGCCTGTGAGTTGCCAGGTACCTGGACTTTCCGGAGTCAAAAGAAGAGTCTTAGGGGCAGGGTCATTTGGAAAGTTCGTAGGCATTGTTGAAAGAAAAGCAGATGGTGGTGGTCAGCAGAGATTGTACTCTGAGTAGAAAGCAGACTATTTCCAAGAGAATCAAATCTGGATGAGCGCTCCTGCCCCTCAGGAAATGTAGGAGCCTCAGACTGTCATTGTAATTTGAACTTCCAGAATGAATTAATTGGCAATTAAAGGGACACAGGGGTAGGATTCTACTGGAGAATTAGAACTCTTGAGCCTTAGTGGAATGGAGCTATATGACTGTGCAGAGACCTTACACATGCAGATAGATGCTGTCCCTTTCCAAGGGTCATCTTGAGAGACATAACAGCTATTCCACTGTGACTGCCACTTCTCAGAACACCTCTCTTCTGAGCCTCTTTTACAGCTTTCTCCAGAACCAATGTCTGAACCACCTTGGAAATTCTGCCTTATTATTTCTTACTCATGCATGTCTCAGAGTTGATAGGAAATTATGCAACTTGCATACCCATCATTTTCAACCCCAAATTCCTTTTAGCTATTAAAAAATGCTGATAAAAGCTGACCTCAAAAGAAAGAGAACGGGAATTTTTTAATGGTTTTACATTAAAAACAAAAATAAAGAATGAGGAGAAGAAAGCCATATTTCTCGAGTGCTATGCCAAGATTATCTCATTTAAGTCTCATGACACCCCACAACAGGAGGGTAATATTACTAGAGAAGGAAATTGAGGTGTAGCAAGGTGAAATAAGGTGCCCAAGATCACATAGCTAGTTATGTCAAAGAGCTAAAATGAAAATCCTGTAGCATTCCAGCTCATTGTAACACATTTTCTCCAAAAGGCAAAAACTTGTCCTGTTAAGTACACACACATACACACATAAACACACAGACATACAATTCCTGAGAGTGGTAGCAATTCTCAAAAGCATATGTTGAGAGCAGCAACAGCTGACACAGAACATGTCTGCAGCCACAGAAGGTGATACTTTGAAGGGACAGTGTGCTATTTATCTGTCAGTTCCTCTGTTTGTCCAAAAATGGTCTTTTTTTATAATTACATCTCTTAAGTAAAAACTAGCAAAGGCATAGGAACATACAGTTTTACTTGGTGTTTACTGCAAACTGGTTGTGATTTATATTTTAAAACTTGATGATAAACTAATATATGTAGCAAATGGATTACATGTATAAACTGGTATTTTGTGTCGTGTGTTGCTGTTTGCATGATCTGTTAAAATGAGAGATTTTTTACCTACCTAAAATATGATATTTGAAACTATGCTGTTACAAGTTTGATTATTTAATTCTAAGATTCTGAGTCTCTTGGACTGAGAAGATGTATTGAAACGTATTGTCAAATGTTATAAGATTTGATATAGGGTTTGTTTGGTTTCTGGTCACATTTGTAAATATCTTTAGAAAAGGACTTTTTATAACTAGCTTCACTCTCACTCTGCTTTGCATCCCCCCAAAACTCTTCTTGCTCAAAACTATGGGAGTTAAGGGGACTTTTGTCCTGGTTTTAGAAGGTGCAGTTCATCTGTTTCCAGATCAGAAACCATTTCTCTGAAGGCTTGTGAAAGCTTTGCTCCCTGGGATCCCTCAGGACCAAGGAACACCTAAAAAGACCACTCTACAAAGACAAATGGCTAAGTGCCCATTATTTATGGTGATGAACATTTGAGGCAACTAGTGAAAAGAAGTGGTTATGTATTCTGACTCTGGGTCAAAAAGACCTGGATTTGAATCTGACAAGAACAAGAAATGATCGATATAAATTGTCAAAGCATAACGAAAAAGGCCCAGGCATTATTGTATATAGTGTTTATGGTACTTACAGCATGTCTGGTACACAATGGGACTCATATGTAGTTTTCAAACATACTTAGCATATACCATGTGCCATGCTTCATCTTTACCACCGTTATCTAATTTAACCTTTACAGTATTCTCATGAGGGAGATATAAGCAAACCGAAGCACAGAGAGATTAAGGACCAGATCTAAGATCCGATTATGGAATGTGCTTCTTTTCTACAGTATCAATCTTCTCTTCCTACTCCTGCCTGAATGATTGAATAAATTGTTTAATTTATGAAAGGCGATGGACTATGGTGCAGAGATAACTCAGCCCAGCCCATTCAGCAAAGAATCAGTGGCTGGCTGATGGCTTGCACAAAATCCAGTTGAAACCAGGTTTTCTTCCCTAAATATTAAAATAAATACCTTCTAGGAGAAGGTCATCATAGAGATGTTGATTGTAGATAAGAACTTACAGTCTCAGAAGCTCCTTTGGGTTTCTTTTTATGGGCTTAAAGCTCATCATCTTAAAGCCAGTTCTTCAAATGACCAATCTGCCACATTTACCAAACAGCTTCTTTTAATTATTTACAAGGTTTACAACAATGCATATTGGATGAGGCTTTTACAAACAGTTTTCTACAATTGTTGTGAAGTTATAGTAACCAATTCTCATTTTTCTTCATAGCCACATATTGGGGAAGGTTCAGTATGCTTTGTCCCCAGCTTGCTACTACTTCAGGGAGAGACCGAGTTGCAAAGAGAGAAGAAATAGACGTGAGGAGACTGAGAGTGAGAGAAGGGAAAAATAAGGGGTAGAAAAATAAGGGATATAGGGGAGGCCAAGGAGACAGAGGGTCAGAGAGAACAGACCTAAGGGGAAGAGCCGGGGGACCCCAAGAGACAGAAGAGGGAGAGAGGGGTAGATGGATTTGCAGAGGGACAGAGACAGGGAGAGATTAAGGAGCAGTGGAGGAGATTAAGAGGCAGAGAGTTGGAGATG